TTTTTCCTCAACAATTACAGTGACCCCTTTGAGATAAATGCGTATTTCTAAATCGACCATGGCAAACAAGATTCCGCAGGTTTCTCGTTGACAGTCCACTTCGAGAAAAGCACCAAATCGTGATATGAGGGCATATCGTTTGATGGAATTATGCGATTAAATGCACGATTAAACAGCTCGTATTTTCGGTACGTTAGTAAAACTTTTACTGTCTAAAGCGGCTTTTTTAAAAGAAACTGTCATCAAGGGTCCTGGAGGGTCCGAAATTCCAGAGGACATTGTACTGTATGTTACAGCGCATCTAACTTAAAACAAAAATGTTTTCAGAAATGAGATGGATACCCTTAATATGTCCGTGAAACAACCGCCTTGCCACTGCGTTTGCCGTTATTAGTTTAGGTCTTACGTCTCTCAATTACAAAAACCGTATTTAAGCTGACTCTCACAGAAAAAGATGTCTTACGTGCAATCGCTGTTGTACCTAAGAGTAAAAAAACAAGCGATTTATTATTATTAGCTCATAAATGGATCTTACTTGTCGTAGCGATCGAAGTAGTGGTGGTTGTCCCTTCTTTTTTGTGTTTCTGTGTAAGTATAATTGACACGACAATAACAGTAATAACAACTACTAGTATAACTAATGCGGAATACACTATTTTGCGTCGTTTATATCGTAATGAATTCGGATAGTTTCTGTGGCCAGGTAATAGTCGTTCATTTTCTTGCCATTGCATTTGAGGAGAAGGAGGAGCAGTTGGACGACTAAACACATATGATGAGCTGATTCACGCAATTACACTAAGATTTTTAATTTGTGTTAATTTGGTTCTTATCCCTGGCCGAACCAGTAAAAGTGTGCCATCAAACAAATTGAATTTTTCGTTTCTATTTTAGAAATTTTCTTGCTAAAGCTAGCCACGCTAAGTGATGAGCGAGTTGTCACTTTTTCGAGTCTTAGTCGTACCGCAACTGACTCGAGTCATTTTCTTAAGGTACATTTCTCACAGACTCAGATTCATTTTTCTACAACTAACTTTAGCTCACTGCTATTATTTCAGGCGTTCGTTTGTACCCACTCTGCTGAACAGCTGCTACGTGTTATCTTTGTATATTTTCGTCGTATATAACAAATATAATAAACACCGTCATAATAATCCAACGTTTCATATGACTCGCTCCACAGTGACTCGAGTCAGTTTATCAAGTTTATTGAGTCGTTTGCCTTGTTTCCAAGTTCAAGTCCGAGTCATAGAGAAACGTGACTTAGCTCACCCATCTCTTTTCAGCCAATAGTCTTGGATGAAGAGACATTCATCATTTTATTTAAAACTAGCTACGGCTGTATGATTATACTGAGAATGGACACCGTCAATTGCATTCTACATAAACAACACTTGAATTTGACAAAAGTGTTGTAACTGGACAAGACAGCATATGTTCTCACATTGCTTTAACCGGTATACGTGTGGACCTATAACCGTTGTACACACAATTACCCAAATGCAAGTACATACGCAATATAAACTCTTGAATTAACACAAGAAAACAAGGCAATCTGGCTCAACCGTCAAGAAAAGAACCTTGGGAGAATCGCTAGGTCTATCAGTCTTCCAAGTATCTTTGAAACACTGAGCAGCGCACAAGAAGCTTGGCTGGCTCTGCAAGGATAAAGTTTCTTGGCAGAATCACTACAAAAATCTTGTCATGAGCGAGTTTCAAGTATCATTTATTCAAAAAAAATTGTTACTCACTTGTTATCAGCCTTTATATCGTCAACTAGTGCTCGAACTGCACGATTCGGCTGTAATCTATCAATGCTCAATGGTTGGCGAGTCATTGGACTTGTACCATCTCGTTGTATCCATTCAATAATGGCGTCTCTTTCATACGTATAACCATCTTCAGCTAGCACAGGATTACCTACAAGTTCATGTGTTATTGGACACTTTAATGAATCATTGATATGTAAAGCTCGAGCCATTAGGTCAATTTGTCACTTTCTTCAAACGGCAAACAAATAGAAATAAAAATAAACGACTCCACTATCTAAATATCTTTTCTTGATAGCGATTATGTAGTTGGAGTAAAACAAAACTCGTTTTTCATTTATAATTAAGCAAACAATTTGGGGATGCTCCCATGAAAAGATATTTAACCGACTTTGATTTCTGTCGTTGATAACGACATTGCACAACACTTGAAGCAGTAGCAAGTTGTGATGTTTGTTTGGTGAAATATATTTACCTGTTTAAAAAGATAACATTGATAACTCAAGAGTGAGACAGAAAAAATATGAAGTGCTGAGCAAAATTGTCAGCACTGGTTGACGAGATTTACTCTGTTTCTTTGAGAAAAACAATTTAACAATGTATTTTTTGTTGTACAAACCACTTTAATTGTTGTAGATTCCACATTACTTTTATACAAATACTCTTGTCTTTCCATTTAGTTGAAAAGTCAACGGCTTCACATGTATTCTGTTAGACATGAAAGTTTCGTTATATAATTGCACTGAGAAAGACAACGATAAATGATGATTGATTATTATTCATCATTTGAGGTACTTATTTAATAATTATTATTTATTTATCTAACAGGTTCCAAAAAGGTAATGAATAGTGATAATAGTGTTCCAAATTCCATCTCGCATGCAATACAGTTTATGAAAGTAATCAGTATCAGACCATCAATAACTACTCGAAATATACTTAATTGAAAAACATTCTCAATAATATGCTGCCGACCAAAACTTAGTCTGATATCTCAGCCTATGACAGAAATATGCTATCAGTATTTTTATCATTTCAATTTCTATATGAATTAAATAGCATTTTATTCCAATCATTAAGAGCGCGTGCACGGCAGCACGAAGAAAGCTCATAACATGGCAAAATCTGACCTACACTTTTTATTATATATTCTGAATCGGTGAGAAAAATTGAGGTTATGAAAAAATTTTGAGCGAGGTTTGATGAACAATGAAGGTGACAGCCGCATTTTAAAGTGAAGAGCTTGAAAAGAGACCTTTTAAATGTTTAGATATCTTATAAGACAATCACTTGAAAAATGACAAATTTGCAAAACGCAATTTTTTGAAGCCGTTGACTTTTCAACTAAATGGAAAGACAAGAGTATTTGTATAAAAGTAATGTGGAATCTACAACAATTAAAGTGGTTTGTACAACAAAAAATACAT